GTGGGGGGCTTACGTTAGGCTTTGGTCATGCCATATAGAGATGTGAGCAGAACCAGAACGTCATCTCTGTAAGTCAAGTATGGGATAAGGGGGTTGTTGTATTCCAGAGAAAACCAGGCCTTTCCGACAGCTGGTATGGAATACTATGAATGGGGTTCCACCCCGCATAAGGATACCTCTCTCCAATTGCGTTACCAGGCTTCAAAACCCATCATTTCCTGTAGGTGGTTGAAGTCTCTATATACCGTCCCCAGACGTGGGACAGGATATGGTAGGTCGGTTGGCGTTCGGGCTTCAGTCCTCCAGGTAGCTCAAGCTCCTCCAGTCGGGCCAGGTCACCGTGGAGGGATCGCCTGCCCTGGACGGACGGGTAGGGCAGGTCATTGAGCAGTTGCCACACCGCTGACATCTCAGTGTCAGAGACTTGTTCGGATGCAGAAGGTGCAGGACTCATTTGCACCTCCATGTCTGCTGCCACATATGAGAGAGGGAAGATACAGATCAGGCACATCACGTGCTTTCGATGAGGTTGGAGATAGGTGCAGGTCAAGAGGGTCACGGAGTTGCAGAGAAGGAGGCGCCTCCGACTGAGGTGGGGTAGGTAGGGTAGACTTGGCTCTTCAACCCGCCATCACGTCCCCGGCTCTAAGCTCCATCCATCTAGCACAGCCGTCGAGCGCGGAAAGATGTGGGAAGAGTCGGCCCACGAACAGCATTCCAGAACCTTTCCCGCATCTTCTGAAACACAAAGTCTCTTGGTGAGTCGCCCTCCGTCATGATCCTGAAGCGGAATGATCATCGTTTCCTCTGCTTCGTTTGTCCAAAGTCCATCTGACCTCCCCCCCATCTTGGTCGTGCCTCTGCAACGCAAACCGGTTTTCCATCACAGGCAGCACCAGGCCCTGGCAGCCCTGGTGGCCCTGGCAGGCTCTGGCAGGCCCTGACAGACCCTGAGGTGGCACAATCTGACGGTGGCGATACTTGGCAACGTTCACGGCTGACTGTTGGACCCTTCGTGCCTCTGCCCTGACGACCAGCTAATTCAGCGACAGGGGTCAGGCCAAGGGTCATCCGACTCGACCTCTTCAGGCACTTGATTCGCTGCCAACTTGCCTAAACAGAAAGGATGGACGCCTCCCCCGTCACAACCGTCCACTCGTCTCAACCTTGTCGCGGCGATCGTTGCCTTGCTGTCCGCTGCTTCCACCTTCACTGGCCTTCCGCCTCCACACGCGTCCAGTCGCGATGAGTCCCGAGCGCAGGGTCTTGACCAAGCTCCTTTCCAGGCATTCCAAGACCAGCAGCGTCCTCCGTCCATCCCCCTGGACAACCGCCAGCACGCGAGCAAAGGTGCACTGCCACCACCGCCAGCTGTCGGGGGGTTGTGCCCACCTGGAAGCTGTCCACCGACTCTTGTCTTGGCTTGCGAACCGACTCACTGATTGTGCCAATGTCGTCAGTTCTGCATTCGCAAACCCTTTGCTTGCCGACACGAAACCTTGCGGGCGGCGGCCCAGTGAAGCGATGGGCAACCGGCCAGATAAATGTACATCCCAGAGGCCTCGCCTCTCAGAAAGCGTTTTTGGAAAGATGGGCACCATCAACTTCTCACTCCGTGGTGTCCCCTTGCCTTTGACTCATCCAGATACATATTTGTATATCTCGACGCCGTCCCCCTTCAAGCCAAGCCACACAGGGCGCCTACAGAACATATCAGAAAAGTCATCGTGCAAGTTGGTTGTACAATCAGTGCAGCTCATAGGAGAAGAGAGTGGCCAGGACTCCAGGCCACAACCAAAAACCACAACGACACCCCTTCTTTACCAAGCACCCTCTACCGCCGGGACAGCCCTACAATTTCTCTGAAGAA